AATTATATATTAAAAGATAAAGAAAAGAAAATACCCAACAGGCTTGCCTATAGCCAGATCTTATGGAGACATTTTCTCAGTTGAGGCTCCCTTCTCTCCAATGACTCTAGCTTGTGCAAAGTTGATGTAAAACTAGCCAACACGGCATATGTCAATTATGGAGAATGCTCTGTTACAGCATTCTGGTGCTCATTTGCTCTTAATAAAAATTCACAAGTGTCTTATGAAAGAGAGGCAATGTTTATTCTAGAGAGGAACTGAGTGTGGTATTGGGGAGATGGGTTGGTGGGTAAAGTACTTGCTGTAAAACTGTGAGAACATAAATTTACAACCCCAGCACCCATGGAAAAAGCTTGGGATTTTGGTATGTATCTGCTACCCCAGCACCTGATGTGCAGACAGCTTGTACCCTGGAACACACTAGCCAATCAGTTTATCCAAAACAATTCAGGTTCAGTGAGAAATTATATCTAAAAAAAATGGGATGAAGAACACAGAGGAAGAGACCTGATACACACCTCTTCTGTTTACATGTGCACACATAGGCATGCACACATACATACACACAATAATAAGTAAATAAATAAATACCTCAGAGAGGACTTCTAGCAGATTTTCCAGTAATATTATTCTATGCCCCTCATTTTTAATTAGAAAACCAATTCTTAGTGTGGATGGCAATTAACACAGAGACCTAAACTAGAAAATATGAAGAGTGAAGGACTTTGGAGGCTTCAGCCATAAATGAGATATCTGTATCAAATTCCTCCCCTAAAGACTCTGGGATCAATGCTGAAGAGTAGATCAAAAGATTGTAAGAGCCAGAGGTGATAGAAGACTTGGGGGTACTAGCATTTACCAGACACAACAGCACTGAGGCACATATGAACTTGAAACTCTGACAGCATGTACAAGAACTGTATGAGGTCAAGCCAGACAAAAGCCCAGCATGAGAAAGAGACGTGGACACAAATTTCACCCTTAACCAAGATGCTGTTTGTAACTGAGAGCTGGGACATAGTTTTCTTCAATGGAGTGACACTGGTTATATCAATCACAATCGAGGCCAAGCCTCATACTCAACTACAGCTGGTCAATACCAAAAGGGCTCCATGGTGTGTGTGTGTGTGTGTGTGTGTGTGTGTGTGTGTGT